GCAAGACAGTTCCACAGGACAGGCCCTTGGTACTGGTATACCTTGACCGTCAGTATTCTAAACTTGAATATCAACTGACTGTATAGTACAGTAAGTAGTTTGTTTAGTTAGTATCAGGACTGTCTATCTAGGTAACAGGTGGTGGTCTAGTTTTTCTAGATTTTCTGTCCTATTGATGGAAGAAAGTCCCATCACCAGCTGTTGCACAAATATCTACATGTAGAATTCCAACAAACTCCACCTACATGTAGTGCTGCATACCTAAATCCACATTTAGGTTCAGGTCCGGATTCAAGTCCAGAGGTTTAGGTTCAGTTCCGGACTTGTTATTCCGGACCTAAACCCATGGCAAATACAAAATTGCATGTTGGCAACCTTGCAATGTTGTCTGGGTGAAACTTTGGCCACATAACATGGAGGCCGACACTTGACGATGCCCGATGGCAATGTTTTCCTCATATTGCAGCAAAGATTTTTCAATCTTCGGAAGGTTTTAGGTGGTTTGGAAAGAAAAGGGGTTTGTGAAATGGTCTTTCATGGTAATAAGTCCGGACTCGGTTCTTGACTTTTAGGTTTTTTTTTACTTGAACGTTAACATTCTTACAAGTCCAGATCCAAGTCCAGTGAACCGGTATGCAGCACTTACAATAACCTACATGTATACTATAGCTAGGGGGAACAGGAAATGGAACATGACTTGATAAAAGAAAGGAAAGGACAAGAGAAGACAACAGAATACGACAAATGGGCATGCTGACAGGATAAATGGAAGGAAAGAAGACAAAAAGGAGGAGTGCTTGGGGACACTCACCATGCCAACTCACCATCAGCCTTCTCTTTCTCTCCTGTCTTCTTCAGCAGATAGCCCGGAACCCAGCCTCTTTCCCCAGCAAGTTCCCCTTTCTCTGTTAAAGGCTGCAAATAGAGAAACAATGCATGTTTTTAGCCTAGGACCCAGCTAACTCTGCTTAAGGCCTTTCTCTGTTAAAGGCTATCAATGGAGAAACAATATGTTCTTAACCTAGAACCCAGCCAACTCCACTAGGCCTTTCTCTGATAAGTGTCAATCTATTAACACACTAGTTAGCCTGAAACCCAGCCAACTCCCCAAGGCCTTTCCCTAGTCTCTTTGTGTCACTGACTAAAGATTGTGGATGCTACCTGAAACATCTGAGCGTTTCCAAAATCATATCCATTCATATTTTTTGGGTGTATCTTATTACCTGGATGTCTAACCTTAACCAACAAATCACAAAAATATGCTAGACAGAAATAAACTTTGACCCCTGACCTCCACGAGGTAGAAGTCGTCTCCAGCGCTCCTGATGACCTTGACCTGTTCGCCCTTGTGCAGGTCTAACTCGTCTGTTCCGTCCACGATCACCGTCTCCAGGACTTCATAAGGGTCTGTATGGGGGGGAGAAATATTCAACATGTGTCAGTGAAGGTTAGACATCCAGGTAATAAAATACACCAAAAACAGTTACTCAAGCAACTGGATATGATTTTGGAAACAGTCGTTTTTAGAATCCGTTTCCAAAATCATATCCAGTTGCTTGAGTAATATACCAAAAGAGACTCCAGGCCGTACCGCTAGTTATAAGACTGGCCAGAACATCCGTATTGAACGCAATCGCGGCCCATTTTTTTTGGCATACATGTACATACAAGCCTCCCACTACAAGGGGCTAGGCAGACCACAGTTATCTATTACAACAGTATAGGTTGTGATAGAAAAAATAAAAATAAAGGTCTCCATACAAAGATCTCATTCAAGCCTCTTAATATAGTACAGAGGTCTGGAAGGGAAATGCCACAATTGTTCAAAGCTTACATAGCTTACAAAGAGTACAGTTACATTTATACATGAAATGTTTTCTTACATCACATTTCTTGGTAGTATATGGTTATTAAAAAATCTCAAGGAAATGGCTCTTTTGTTTGTCTACAATGATAAAAGCATAACTGACATACCATAGAAACGCAAGCAATGTTCTTTACCATTATTAAATGGCGTACATTATTCTTTCCAACATTTTCTGACAAAAAAATAGGGCTAGAATCTTCAAATCTATAATTATATATCATGATTATACATTAATTTGTAACATATTAGCGTGAAAGTGAAAGATCTTGCAATATCCAAGACATCTCACACAAACTGCATGAATTAAAGACACCTGTTGGTTGGGTTTCCTACAGCCACTACAGCACCTTAAGACAATCTCTCACCTCTGCCGTGTGAATGAGAGAGTCAAAGCTGGTCTCGCTGAAGACATTACTCCCCCGCCGTTGGTGGTTCGGCCCGGAAACCAGTCTCTGTCCGTGTAAGGAACAAGAGAAAGTCACTTTCACTCAAGAAAGGGTCTCCCAAGGAATTTCAGGGCAGAGGTGCTTCCTATCTGTTGATGTCGCAAAAAAATCTGTCAATTTTCATGAAAATACTTAGAGAAAACTCTAGATTTAAACATTCTGGGAGAGGTATCTGCTGTAAGGAACGAGAACGAAAGTCACTTTTACTCAGGAAATGACGTAATCCCACAGTTGCCATGGCAATGTGAGGTAAGAACGAAGCCTTGAGGTGCCGGGTTAGACCAGCAGACTAATCATGGTTTCCTCGGAAAGGGCCGTAAAAATAGAACGGCAGAATATTGGTCTGTCAGGTGGAATTTGGGTGGTAGGCTCAGCTCAGATTCTAACCTCAATGGAAAGCAACCTACAGGCCGATTTGAATCTCTACATATTAATTTTTCTGATGCAGTTATATATATGCAGGAAAAAGTATTTTGAACCCACCTGTCTGAGAAGCTTGCTGATGTTCTGGTGGTTGCCATAGAAACCGTCAATCATGCTGATGTGCAGAAGGTCGTTGGCTCGCTTGGGGACGTCCATCATCACTCCCAGGGCATGCTGGGTAATAGATGGCAACATGGCAAAAAAATTTACTTTTTTCCCCAATAAAAGTAACTTATAGAGTTGATTCTAATTTTCTTCTTCAACTTCTTTCGTCGGAAGACACAAAATCCATTTAATTTTACCTGACAGTGCCTGTAATGTAATAAAGTGGTAACACAGCAATATCATAATTATAATGGTTTTATTACTTTTTCTGACACTTTTTACTAAATGTCAAGAATATAGTGTATACTTGGCGTGTGCAATAGTATCCTAACATGTAATATGTAACTCAGTGAAATTCTTGGTACACTTGTGTACCCAAATAAAAAATTCAAGGCACACTTTATTCACACTACTATTCCACAAGAGCATTGAGATTTTTCCCAAAAACGTACAGTCAGCTTAAAAAGAGTTGTTTTACTTGAGTCAACACTGCAGAGGGAATTTGTATAGTGAAAAGGTCAATGATCATCACTATAGTAACCATGACCTGAGATGACCTGTGCTTCTTTGATCTAGATACTGTTATAATTCAGGCCTGCTTTCCCCATAGAATATGAGGCACAAAGTAAAAGTATGATTCAAAAGGAAACAAAACACACTATTACCCAACCAGGTAAGCTCAAGCTCAGAGAAAAAAAGTTTAAAAAATACTGAGCAACAAGATATTTGAGGATTAAGAATATAAACTTAATTACCTCTAAATCTGTGCTATCCAGCTTGGCTCTTGTGGTGTATTTAACCAGTTCCTGAAAAGAAAGATATAATATTTTATTTGTTTCTCATTTCATCTTTATACATTAGAAACATTGAAACAATTCCTGTTAAGTTGCACAGCATTTCTTGGTCGGTTGAAGTAGAACCACTTTGAATAAATATTGTACCAACTTATGTTTGTTTGAATGTAATATCAGTAAAAAGGACTCTGAAAGACTACAAGATATTGTGTATTCTACTAATCAAGATTCTAATAAAAAAACAAAACAAATGAAGCTGGTTTGTCCTATGATAGACGGGATAACATTACCTTCAGCAGAAGTTGGTATTTAGTGATCCTCTGCACAGGTTTGATGAGATAGTCTGATAATGTAAGCTTCCTCTCGTCACTTCTTTCGGTGTAGTCCTGATGGAAAAACAAACAAAAAGTATAATCAAATGACTGTAATTCACTTTATGTTCACAGTACCAAAATTTCACGGTCTGAGAAAAATAGACATGTTCACAGTACTATATATTCACGGTGGTGACAGGTGCAGAAAAAAGTCAGACCAGGTATTATTTGTTAACCGTAATGATAAGTTCACGGTACAGAAGTGATAGTGAAAACAGTGAGCATAACAGTACAGTGAAAAAATCAGGAATTACAATATGGTCTTGATGGTGCAAATGTAACAACAATAACAGACTTGTTCACTATAATGAGCTATGGGCCACCCAGCTGATTGAGAAAACTTATTAAATCATAAAACTGTCTGCAAAAAGTTTCCTCTGTCTGTGGTTTAGTGCCTTTTTCTCTTGGTTCCTTTTGTCACAGTGAAAGATTTTTTCTCTATACTGGACTCAAGTTGAGAAGGATGATAACCCTCATATTCACGTTAGTTAAGGAATACACATCATATCCTAAGTTTACTGGTTTCAGGATGTTCGTCTATGACTTTTTCTGAGAGATCTGCAGTGCCCCCTAACTCTGGCCAGCAGTACTGCAGGCTCATCCAACAGGTGGTTTTGTCAAGTTTTAGACAAAAGTGCAACAAACAACAATTCAGTATGTCACACCATACTTCTGCACTTAAGGCCACTCCAATTCAATGTGTTGGTTCTTGGTCACAAAGGAAATTCCACATGATATACAAGAAAACGCCTGATTTTGGAAAAAAAAAAACAAGAAATTTTGTTGCCTTTTGAAAGTGGTCACCATGCCAAAAATGGGCAAAGATGTCTGTTGCCATGGTGGAACGTGGATGGCAGATAAATATGAAGAGAGGAGACAAGACAATGCCATAGTTTTTGGTTTTGATAAGTTGTGTGCCAAAAGCTCCGCCTGGCGTCGATCTGGGTACTGCAGTTCTCAGCACACCTGGTGGGAGTGGTGGTCACGTGACCAAGTCAGGTAGGTTTGAAAAGAAAAGAGGAAGTTCTTCCCTCGAGCTCGTGTTGGTTTCTCCAGACCAGAAGAACTTCAAGATCTTCCCCAGAAACACTTTAAGGTAAGTCAGAAAGTCTTGAAGACGGGCTGTGGGGGTATTTAGGAAGGAAATCTTCAGTTTGATCAAAGAAATACAGTGAGTCATACCTGTGTGGGCATGTACCAACCCACCTCAGTCTCTCACCACAATACCGACAAAAAAAAAATACTCCTTGACGTAGAGGCTAAGAATTTCAATAGTATGAAAAAAGTCTTGTTTTAGCCTGTCTCTGCTATAAAAGTGGCATCTAAGCTAATGTGTGATTCGTGTAGTATTACTATACTGACCCACCCTCCATAACTTAACCAGGTGTTTTTCAGTACATTGTACATACTGGGTTAAATGTTGACCAGTCTGACATTATTTGCTGCTGTGTGTTGATACACACACAGGGAGTCCATTCGTGACGCCTGCTGTGTTGTGTTGCCCTTGGGACTCTCACTGAGGTTAGCGGTTTTGAAGTCAACTTATAAACATCAGACATGATATCCATCTAGGGACGGTTTATCCACATTTCTTTTATTTTGTTCATTTTGCTGTGAACAGTGAATAAAAGGAGCCGACACTGTGTTGTTTGTCTTGTTACGGTACCTGTGACCAACAAAAGCACCTGTGACCTTCGGACCTTGTAACCAAAATGGCGGATGGAGCGGTAACTACATAACTGTTTGTCTGACCTCTTTTACAGAGAATGCAGGAAAACTGCATCAGAATGGACTAAATCTGGCCCAGCAGACTTAGGACATTACCAGGACACACCGGTGTGTTTCACAACAGCTTAACTACAGCAGAAAAACTCATGGAGGAGAAAGAACAGGTTAGTGAAACTCTTCTTCACAAGTCCACAGTCAGCAAGAACAAACATAGCTACTAGCATGACTGCACCAAGTAGAAAAATGAACCAATAGAAGCCCTGAAGTATGATGAGCAGGTCAATTGTCCAACTTTTTCCACCACCAGAACAACTTAAAAACTTTTTCTTTCAAGGTAGTGCCTTCACCTCAGATTATGTTGTACGTGACACGTGACATGCTGACTATTGAGAATCAACAAATAAATGTATAGAGTAAGAGTATTAAGTCTTGACCAATTACAGCTCTTTGCATGCTCTGAGGCTTCTTAAAAGTAGTTTAAATATGATGTCTGGATGTTTCTGTTCTTCAGGAGCTGAGAGAAGCCGCCGGGCGAGGTGAGGAGGACAGAGTTAAACAGCTCCTGGCCGAGGGAGTCAATGTCAATGCTGCCGACAGCAGCGTAAGTTATTATATAACATTACATTGTATATATTAACAAATTCATGAAAGGATTTTGAAACACTTTCAAGTGTGCAGTTTTACAGATGAAGTTGATCTTTACATCAGAACACCTCTTTGTGCTACTGACTCTTTCAAGTTTTTCTTCATGCCAATGTTTATATCTAGTGAGTACATCTATACTACAACTATTTTCTTCATGTCTGATGATCCATGTCAGTGTTCAAAATACCTGTCTGCAGTGAGAAAATCTATCTGCAGATTGCAGACTGCACTGCAGTCTGCAATCTGCAGATAGATTTTCAAGATTGCAGGAGAAAAATTTATACAATCTGCAATTTTGCAGTAGGAAAAATAGGCTCCAGATTCAATAGCTTTCAATTTAGCAAACTAGAACTCTCTGGCCCCAAGGACAGACAACACTTAAGCCCCTGTTTTGAAGCAACAGGAGCTTCTTCACTAATTTGCATCATCCTTGTCTTGACTTGTCTATCTTTTGTTTCCCTTTCAACTTCCAAAAATTTGTCTTCACTAATTTGCATATGAATCAATAGTTCGTGCTTATAAACCTGCAATTCTCTTAGTGTCACTGACGAAAGGTAGTAGTCTGACCATATAAGGTAGCACCAAAATCATATATTGAGTTGCTTAAGAGTTAAGTACTGTTTTTTGTGTGTCTTTTATTAGTATGTTGTGTGGAAGGATGATATGTGGGTGTGATTACTAGTACATTTACAGGTAAGGTATGATTTTAGTTGTAGTACTAGTAGCTAGTGGGAGACAGCAGTGAAAGACCCGTGAAGACCAGTAAATGATAAATTTTCTGTGGAGAAGGATCTATAAAGTCTGAAACTAAAAAGAGTGATGGGATGTAAAATTTAAGACATTAATGGTTTGAGAAGGTTGTAGTATGGAGGCTTGTGTATTTTCAGAAAGTATTTTCTAATTGCAGAAGAAAATTTTGACTCTTCTGCAATGTTGCAGAGCACTGAAAAAAAGTATTTCGACCACTGCATGTTCTTACACTATACGGGAAGTTCCTGGAAGGCTGCAAAGATCACACTGTACATTGTACAAACCCCAATCTTACATGGAGGTCCTCTACTCTTGTCTCTGTACAGGAATGGACTGCTCTCCACAAAGCATCTATGAACGGCCACACAGGAACTGTACAGGCTTTACTCACAGCTGGAGCAACAATCGATAACTTTGCTGTTTACTTCAGTCTGTCTAGTAACTGTCCCTGTCCTCAGTTTGTATTGGAGCTATTGGTGTGATCATGTGACTGTCAGGCACTCAAGGCTATACTCATGGGAACAGGCTTGATAATATAAATATAAATCTTACATGTCTACTCTTGTCTCTGTACAGCAAGAAACTGCTCTCCACGAAGCATCCAGTCACGGCCACACAGGAACTGTACAGGCTTTACTCACAGCTGGAGCAATAGTCAATGCACGAAGTGACGAGGTAACTTTGCTGTTTACTTCAGTCTGTCTTACTGTCCCTGTCCTCAGTTTGTATTGGAGCTATTGGTGTGATCATGTGACCGTCAGGCACTCAAGGCTATACTCATTGGAACAGACTTGATAATATATATAAATCTTACATGTCTACTCTTGTCTCTGTACAGCAAGAGACTGCTCTCCACAAAGCATCCGAGCACGGCCACACAGGAACTGTACAGGCTTTACTCACAGCTGGAGCAACAATCGATGCAGAAAGCAACTGGGTAACTTTGCTGTTTACTTCAGTCTGTCTAGTAACTGTCCCTTTCCAAGTTGTATTGGAGCCTTTGGTGTGATCATGTGACCATGAGGCACTCAAGGCTATACTCATGGGAACAGGCTTGATAATATAAATATAAATCTTACATGTCTATTCTTGTCTCTGTACAGCAAGAGACTGCTCTCCACAAAGCATCTATGAACGGCCACACAGGAACTGTACAGGCTTTACTCACAGCTGGAGCAACAATCAATAACTTTGCTGTTTACTTCAGTCTGTCTAGTAACTGTCCCTTTCCAAGTTGTATTGGAGCTTTTGGTGTGATCATGTGACCGTGAGGCACTCAAGGCTATACTCATGGGAACAGGCTTGATAATATATAAGTCTTACATGTCTATCTACTCTTGTCTCTGTACAGGGAACCACTGCTCTCCACAAAGCATCCTGTCAAGGCCACACAGGAACTGTACAGGCTTTGCTCACAGCTGGAGCAGCAATCGATGCACAAAACGGCATCTCGGTAACTTTGCTGTTTACTTCAGTCTGTCTAGTAACTGTCCCTTTCCAAGTTGTATTGGAGCTTTTGGTGTGATCATGTGACCGTCAGGCACTCAAGGCTATACTCATGGGAACAGACTTGATAATATAAATATAAATCTTACATGTCTACTCTTGTCTCTGTACAGGGAGAGACTGCTCTCCACTGTGCATCCGAGCACGGCCACACAGGAACTGTACAGGCTTTACTCACAGCTGGAGCAACAATCGATGCACGAAGCGACACGGTAACTTTGCTGTTTACTTCAGTCTGTCTAACTGTGCCTGTCCTTAGTTTGTATTGGAGCTAGGTGTAGTAAATGATAAAGCCACTGACACGTTGGTGTGTTCATGTAACCGTCATGCAGGCACTAAAGGCTATACTCATGGGAACTGTACAGGCTTGATAATATAAATTTTACATGTCTACTCTTGTCTCTGTACAGGGATGGACTGCTCTCTACTCTGCATCCATCAATGGCCACACAGGAACTGTACAGGCTTTACTCACAGCTGGAGCAACAGTCGATGCACGAAGCAGCATCTTGGTAACTTAAATTGCTGTTTACATCACATTCTGTCTAACTGTGCCTGTCCTCAGTTTGTATTGGAGCCAAAAGACATAGAAAATAATAATATCATTTTCCCAGTGTCCTGTGCTGTATAATTATAGTCACATAAATTGTACAAAGATTACATTGATACATGTAACACTTGTCTGTATTGGTTGGAGCCTTACTTGTGTTGTTAAAACTTTAGGGTTATATTTGAGCCATGTCAGGACTTGTATGGGGGACTAAAGGGGCCGGTGTAGTCATTTGGTTACATGGCCAGACTGTTACATGTATGTATGGGTCAGTAAATCCTAACAATTTACTTGCCTTACCTGTGTTGGCCCAACTTTCGGGTTAAATATTTGAACCAGGACTTGTATGGGGGACTAAAGGGGCCTGTGTAGTCATTTGGTTACATGGCCAGACTGTTATGTTCAGTGTGTAGATACTTTAAAATTTGACCATCTCACACTTTGCTGTACCCACAGAATGAGACTCCCCTTCATGCAGCAGCAAGGAGAGGACACCCTGAGTGTGTCAGAGTACTGCTGAGGGCTGGAGCCAACACTGTCATAAGGAACAGTGTAAGACACTTGGACTTTGTCATTTGTCAATCATTGGTGCTGAGAGAGGGAACATCTGCTCTCACTACTGTTACTGATCTTGTTATATGGTTGTATAGTTTTACTTAAAAAAATATATCAGACTAAGCTCTTAGTAACTATTCTGACATAACATCAAGAGGGGTTATAAATATCATAATCTTATGACAAACTCCACTTGCACAACAAAAGCATCAAAAGGGCAAAACTGTTGTGATGATGATGTTTAGTGTTGATGACTTCATGGATGTGTTGACTTTACATACAGGATAAGAAGACAGTAGAAGACCTTGCAGTACAAGAGGATGTGCAGCAGGTGTTCCAGTTGTTTAAAGTAAGCCCAAAATAAATCCATTACTGATAGTAAAACATGTGGCTTGTAACTACTGCATTACTGGTAGTACATATCATGTCAAACACTTGTTATACATTTAGTTCTTATTTGCCTAAAGAATGATAGAATTATAAAATTCTAAGTGTTGAAATCCTGTTGTTCCCTGCAGGGTAAGACATCAGGGCAAACGAAGCATCTCAAAAGCGCTGTCTGGTGATGTATTTTAATTTCCATTCAACTGTGATTAGTGCTAGGTACCTAAAGTCATGGTTAGTTTCATGTCCAGATCCAGAGGTTTAGGTTCACCTAAACACCTGGCCTATACAAAATTGCATGTTGGCAATATATGTATGTGTGTAACTTTATATATATGTATGTATATGTATGTATATGTATGTATATGTATATGTGTGTGTGTGTATGTATACATATATATAATATTGTAGAGAATACACAATGTGAACACAATTTACCCAATGTCATAATGAATTATACCAACACAGATTAACTATCATGCTAATACAGTAAATTATATGCTTACTTGTCAAGCAACATATGTATATGTATATGTATATGTATATGTATATGTATATGTATAT